GGGGGGGGGGGCGCTCCAAACTGGATCCGGAAGTGATTGACGAGCCGGAGCGGAAGCGGACGTCCCACGACTGCGTGCAGTATGATGACGCGCGCCCGCGGGCCAGGAGGTCGCAGGGCCGGAGCTAGCCTCGGCCACTACGACTGCTTGTTCTGCGCGGCTGCTGACACGACACGCGGGGGCGTTGTCCGTTCCGGGGGCTCCGCCATTGACTGCCCTAATTCTCCTGCCCCCCCCCCCTGCTTCCGCGGGCGGCGCGTTCGCTCGCGTCATTTCCTTTTTGATAACGCGCGGTTCCGGTGTCGACCAGAGCTGCCCAGATGCGCCCTCCGGCAACAGGTTCAGCGTCATGTTGGTGTTGTTGTGTTGTTGTGAAGCTCGTTCAGCATCAACATGCAGAGGCGCTCGCTCGCAGGTGGTCCAGGAGTCTGCTGCAGGTTCAGCGTCACCTTGTTGTTGTTGTTGTTGTTGTTGTTGTTGTTGTTGTTGTTGTTGTTAAACTCGGGCAGCATCAACATGCAGAGGCGCGCGCCCGCAGGTGGTCCACAGCAGTCTCTGCCGCAGGTGCGCCGGCAGGTGTGCGCGGGGCAGCTGCGGGTGACTCATCGCCAGCCACTATCGCGCCCGCCACGCCCCGAGTGGCCGCCGGTAACAATGGGCAGTGTGTGTGTGTGCGTGCGTGCGTTTCGCGGACATCCTCATCATAATCGACGCATGGACAACAATGCGGCGCCCAGCTCGGCGTGGTGGAGGCCCCCTGTTTGTTTAGCTCTGTGCACGACCACCGCGACCCCCACCGCGCCGCCCTACCTCGGGCCCGGCGGGGCTAGTAGCCCCGGGCTACCTCCTGCCCGCTGGAGCCGGCGGCGAGGTGATGCTGCCGGTCATTGAGCGGCCGCTGCTCTCCTCTCCTGCACCATCCTTCCCCCTCGTGCGTCGCCGCGCCACGACGCGCTCTCTGCCTCTCTCTCTCTCTCTCTCTCTCTCTCTCTCTCTCTCTCTCTCTCTCTCTCTCTCTCCCTCTCTTTATAGGTCGCTGTTGATGTGATAGGCACGTGCCAGTCCTGTCAGGGATCGACGGGCCTAGCATCACCCCCCCCCCGCTCTCTCTCT